CCAAATCATGTTAACCAAATAATGAGAAAGCCAAGTTAACAGTATAATTAGACCTCTAGATTCCCAGCAACTTTTCAGTTGCTCTCACAAATTCAAGACTTCACTGACGCTGCACTGTCAGAGTGCCATTTCCAAACCAGCAGGAATCCAACTGCCTGTGTCCGTACTCAGCAGGCAGCTGGAATGCCCCACTGCTGAGCATGGCAACTCAGGGCAGTACAATCATCCAGAAACTCCAGCAGGGCACTAAACACCAATCACACGTCAGTCACTTAGCAACATCCAGCCTACAGTCACACCTAAAACGTGCAAGTCTGTGGAATTTTAAGTTTCACACCCATTAGAACTAATAAAAGGAGTTGCATATCTGAATCAGATCACTGACTTTCAGGAGAAGTCTTAGTACAGACCATGCCTACAGAATCCCTATTGCAAAAAACAAACCCGATCCAGTAACTCCCTAGTATTTAATTCTACAGTGGCATTCCACTGCCTTTAGAACAAAATCCAAATCCCTTGCTTAACCTGGTCCCCAAGGAAGGACCTGCATGATCTGGCTCCTGCCCACCTTTTGCGCTCAACTCCCATCCCACCATGCCCTCCACTGCAGCAGCAACCCTCCTCGGGGTTCTCTGGCATGCCACGCTCTAGCTGACCTCCCAGGCCTTTCTCCATGCAGCTGTCTGAAATGCCCTTTGCACTCCTGTTCTCCCAAGCCTTCCTTCTGCTTGGCAAAAAAGTAATAAGCACTTGGTACTTGGCATCTCTTTCAAGACCCATCTCAAGGGTCACATGACTTTCCACTCCCCAGGGTGAGTGAGGGGCCATCTCTGTGTTCCCATGACTCTGGGTAATAAACTCTATCACAACGCTCATGACACTATTAAAATCACCTTTGCTAGTATTCCCATTACAATCTTTGCTGTAACTCATCAGGGGGACCCACCAAACTCGTATCTTAAAACATTTCAATTTCGAGATCATAGAAAAGTTGTCTTGAGGCCACAGTGTACCAAACATCCAGCTGGAATGTCAGTATTACCATTAATTACCTTGGGGAAGGCCTGAGAATGGAGAGTATCATGCCTAAGATGAAATTCAGGTACGTGCTTTACAGGTGTGTGCATGGCTGCACACGCACACACACACACATAGGAGTAAAGCTCAAGACTAAGGAAAACAAATCGGCTTCAAGATAGGAGAAACATATTTAAAAAGGAAAGCTGTATGCTAATATTTAGCTTTCTTTTTCCCTTGTATACTAGAATGCCAGTCTTTTCTTGTACCAACCTAGAACCAAGTTTCATTCAAGATTTCCTGAGCTAAAATGCTGCTGCACATTTTTATGTCAAAATATGCGCGTGGAGGGTGGGGAGGTTGCTTGGGGAGTAGCAAGGAGTATTGCAATTTCAGTTGATTACTTATTGGCTATTAACTTATTAAGGTTCCAAATGAAATAGTGGTCCACCTCTGTGTTCTAGGAATTGTTATTCTGGTGTCTGGAGGAACAAATCACCCCTTGTTCCATTTCCCAGAACACAATATTCATTCTAAGTACACCTTTGAGAGCTTGAGATATTTTATTGCGTCCGGAAAATTGAAGTCACTGCAATCTTCCAAGGAAGCCAAGAGTGAAGCGGAGAGTGTCTCGCAAGCTATAACAACGTGGTGCCAACAATGCTGTGCCTCTGAAGCCAGGCCTGGGGCCCAGACAGAGCAGTCCTCTCCACGAGCTGCACTGGGCTTATGTGTTTCATCAAGTGCAGGATGAGGTCACCAACAGGTTTCAAGCAAGGTAGTGAAATGATTTGACAAGAATTTTTAAAGATTGCATTGGGTCCAAAGTGATGACAGGAACAGAAGAAAAAGAGAAGCAGGCAGGGCAGCCAGTTAAAAGGCTTTGGCAGTCACCTGGCAAAGGATGATGTTGGCTTGGACTTGGGGGTGGATACAGGAAGGCCATGGATGAACTCAATATCCACTTTAGGAGAGGCAGCATTAGGACTTGGTGATTTGGAGGAAGAAAAAGACGAGTATTAACAGATGAACTCCCAGTTTCTGGCTTGACAAAGTGAGTTAACAACTGTGCACCTTAATAAGATGAGGGAAGGGAGGAGGCCTAGAAAGGGACTATGGTAGAAGCAGACCAAGAGTTAAAATCTGGACACAGTAAGCTTGAGGTGCCCATGAGATATCAAGTTTGCTAACTGTGAAAAGGGTGTAAGAATGCTACAGAACACAGAGAGTCCTCGGGCCAGCCTCAGAGGTGACCCCTGTCCATCCTCTCATGGTGCTCGGAGGTCCTGCCACTGTGCCAATTCAAGGTGCGCACAACCACTAAGGAGCACCTGGGAGCCCACCTGGGACCCCATAGAGGCTACCCCATGTGGGTAGCTCTATGAGGATCTTCACTAATGAAGATCCAGCTTTGGGGTTAAGAAAACAATAACCTTAACAGTAAAATGGTGCTTGCATCATGCCACAACTGTAAGTAAAATGTGAAGCCTGATGTTTCCTTTGATAACAAGCATCACAATAGGCTTGCAGATTTCTCGATATTGATGTTTCGGATTCCCAGTAAAAGGGTACTGGTATCTGGTCTTGGGCCCCAATGCTTACACTATGGGGAGTACCAACCTGTTTGGGGGATTCCAGATTACAGTTTCCCATAGGAAAATGTTAATCTAAAAGAGTATCAGAAGAAGGTCTCAAAATAAAAAGACGAGAGACAGTGGACTGTTTTAGGAAAACAACAATTCACTGAAATCATATCCTGCTCTTAAGTTAATAGCCTCTCTTCTAGAATAGAAGCTGGTTTTTTATTATGATGGTTCTATTTTCCCATTTCCCCATCAAAGAACAAATCAAAAAGTCACTTGACAATCCGCTCTTTCATTAAAAGTTGAGCCATTTTTAAAAAATCACAGTTAACTAAACAATTCCACATGGCAATAAAGCACTGTGCTCTGCTGCCTTGATTGATAGAAACCATTTGCAATTATTTAAAAGAGAAGAAAGGGAAAGAACATCATCAGATACAGCTGAATTAAGCTGATCAAACCTGTTAGTGTCTTCCAGTTTACTCAGAGTAAGACGATACAGCATTCATGTAAACTAATTAAATTTCTTGTATTTAAATTAGCCTTAACAAAAACAAAACTTTCAAGACTGACTGGAAGGTCTCAGGAGGAACATACCTGCTTTTTCAAGAGAGCTGCCTGGCTGAGGGTGGAGGGAGCACCAGGGTCAGACTCTCAACAGAAGGTCAAGACTCCCCTCCCTCAAAGGAACACTGAGGGTGGGGAAGAGATGGTTTTGTGACACTATTAGTTTGCCATGGCTTCCAAAGGAGAGGGACCAAGATGAGATGGGGTGGGAAAAACTGAACCCCATTCACATCAGCTCATGACGTTATGCCAGACATCGAACTTCTGAGCTTATTTCCTGACTTTGAAAATGAGAGGTTACCACTCGCCTCTGCCTGCTTCCCAGGACTGGCGGGAAAAGCAAATCTGCCGATGTGTGCCAAAGCACCTTGCAAAAGAGAAAGCACTCTACCAATGTGAGAGACAATTGCTGGTTACTGTTACAGGCAGAAAGGGCTGAGTCAAGTCTTCCAAGATGATGGTGACCAACTACACTGATTTTTTTTTTTTTTTGAGAACTGTCAATTGATTATTTATTTTGTATAAAAGTTACGTTGAAAGAAGAGGTTGAAAAGTCAAGTATACCTCATTTGCACACACTCGCGAAGTCTCACAGGATTCAACCGCTTGGATAATTTTTTTATTGATAACAGGATATACATATTAAAAGCCTCACGCTGAAGCCCAATACACATGTCCAACCCAGACAACAATGTGCAAATGAATACGCAAAACAATCTCTGGAAATTTGTGTCTCTGGGAACACCCACGATCTATGCTTTGTCCCTCTGGCTATGATGCATAAACTGATAAAATTAACAAGAAACTTTTCTGGGATCTTTAGCTGTTACAGTAAACAGTGTGAGAAAAGGAACCTGCTGACTTGTTCATTTAAAAGACAAAGGCTGGGGGCAGGGAGGTGGATTAAGACACAAAGTCACTGAGTGAAGCAGTCGAGAGCATGGCACAGATGGAGAAGGTGATCCACTGGTGCAGCAGACAGGAGGGGCCACAACCACAGCGAGACCTAAACCCCACCACACGCAACCCCCACTCACACCCGCCACAAGGGGTGGAAGCGGGCTGGGGAGCTGTGCTCCAGGGACCACTGGCATCCAGCTCTGCCTGTCACCTTCCTCTCCACTTCTGGATTCCTGCTCTTAACATCAGCCCAAAATCGAATGTGAAAAAAAGGAATCAGATACCAAAGCTTTGCTATTAGCTTCATTTCATCAATAGCCAAAGGACACCTGGAGAAGATCAGGAATTTCGGATGAATGCTCAAAGATCATAACGTATTTAAGAATGATTTCTAGCACAGGCCCAGTAAGGGAGGCGTGGTGGGGGTATGATGTGGGTCCACACAGGAACAGGCCTCTTGTGGGGAGGCTCCTACATTAGTCATTCGAGAAACATTTATGGAGTACCGACTGTGTCCCAGGCACAATTCAGATGCGTCCTCGAGGAGCTTACTGGGGAAAACACAAAAACAGGCAACGAGAATAAAGTGTGGAAGTAAGTACTATGATGGGGGGTGTGTCACGGACCTCTACCCGACTGGCCAAGAGAGGAAGGGTGAGACCATCAGGGGAAGGGCAAACGAGAACACAAACGTCACAGGAAGGTGAAAGTGTCGTGGGGGTTCAACAGCAGGAGAAATCACCCGCAGCCTGGAGGAGATCTTCCACAAAGGACAAAGGTGGCATTTGATAAAGATCTTGAGGGATGAAGAGGAACTTGGCCAGGCAGAGAGAAGGGGTAAAATATTACACACAAAACTGGGCATATGGGAGGAATGACAGGGACAGTAACCTCTCCCCAGACAACGAGTTTCCCTTATAAGAGAATGTTTACCTTTTCTTCAACTTCAAGAATCGTTGATTGAATAATTTCAGCAAACTGATTTTCCGTACAGGTGACTTGAGTTATTCCTGTTGAGAAATTAGAAGAAAAGATATCATAGGTGCTGGGAAGGTATCCCTCCACAGACTCCTTTTTTGGGACTCCCCAGCCCCTCAGCCCATGCTGAGAGGGCAGTCACACGGTCCCCCTCTCCCAACTGGCTTAGGGATAGACACTTATCACCGTCCTGCTCCAGAAGGGGACAGAGACAGATACACTGGCACATGTGTGCATGTGTGTGATGGGCAGGAGCACGCAGCCCCTGCGTGGAGTTAGAGGGGCCTTCCCACTCCAGCAGGCAGTCAAGCTTTGCTCCTTGTATTCCTGGGATTACTACAACAAACTCACTGCTAACTTAAGCTGCCATGAGAGCATGGCTATTCCCTGCAATCAAAAACCACTGATTTAAAAATGAGGGATACAGGTTTGGGACTAGAAAAAGAAACGAAAGTGGAAGGTGAAGGAACAGAGGCTTTTAAACCAAAGCCTTGGGAAAAATAAAAGATGATGAGAAAGTGACCCAGGCATCTGAACTACTGTCCCATAACATCAGAGAGGAAAGGAAGAGATGTGTGAGAGCCACAAAGGACAGCCAACAAATTAACTCAAAACCTCAGTGGCATTTAATATTAAGTTGGAAGCCCAGATACTGGGGGAAAGGGGCTTTTAATATGGGTATTACTCATAAAGCAAAATAAATAAGAGTTTCGTTGAAAATAAAAAGGTGGGAGGCTCCAAAAAGTGTCCATAACAAGCAAAACATAATTGAGTAATGGTACAATGCCTATCATTACTAATATATGTAAAGATAAATCTTGGTTTACCGTGATTTTGTTTTGTTTCAAAAAAGAAAAAAACATTTCATTTCAAGGTGTGGTGGGTCAGCAATCAGTGCTGAGTTCAGCTTGGGCTTTTTCTTCCGGTCTTGCCTGGCTTATGTATGTGGCTATGGGCATCTGGTTGCTCCACTGGGCCAGGTGGTCTCACATGACTTTGTTCATGTTAGTGGTTGGTACTGGCTGCTGTGCTGCTTTTATATTCTCTTGCAGTAAATGTAAACAGTTGTTTTTTTTTTTATCCCCCCAAGAGCTTCACAGATGGATGCCCAACCTCTATCCTCGCCATATTTTTCCATTAGTTCCTGAGTTGGGGCAATCACTTACCTACTGTGAGGACTTAAGAACCTAACATCTTGTACTCTCTTCTACTAGGGAGCACTGATTTTGGTGAAGTCCAGAGATTAAGGTAGGTAAAAGGGAGGGATGGGACGCAGAACTGGAAAGGGAAAGGGAGTTGGTTATTCAGGAGTCATGAATGCCAAGTAAAGGAGTTTGCACTTTATCAAAGCAGCATGTAGTCTAGTCCCCATTCCCTAAGAGATAATTACCATTCTGAAAATATGGAAAGTTCAAATTGGGCTCCAGAGGAAAAATATGACCTGAGCCAGAGGGTCTATAAAGACGGAAGCAGTCATCAGGAAATTAAGTTATTAGCAAGCCATGACCTCTACCCTTGATGGGGTTCTTTGCCTGCTGCTGTTGGCTCAGTAGCTGCAGCAAAGGCTCTACTATTTTGCCCCAGTTTCTAGGCCTTCTGAGCAGCTTGTTGCTCCAGAGGCTCACTGAAGCATCAGCTTTCACCGAACAGGGTACAGAACAGTGACAGGGACACCAGCTGGCCTCCAAAGGGCAACTCTGCTATCTGCTCTCCCCAGATCTGGCCCTGTCTAAATATTCCAAGGAGCAGAGGCACCTGCTGCACGTCCCAGACCTACAGTACTTCCTCTCACTGGGCCTCAGTTTCTTCATTCATAAAATGATGGAGACTAGATCAGTGGTACTCAACAGGGGTTCTGCAAACCAGTGCCAACTCTGCTGCTGGGTCAGGATCAGATAAATACAAAAATTGGGAGTAAGTGCTCAGAAGCTTTTCTAGCAATATGATATTGCTACAGAGCCAAGCACATAAACAGTGGAACTGTCCTGGACAGGGCACAGACTAGTATATGAGTTTCCTGAGGCTGCCATAATTATCACTGGATGGCTTAAAACAAGAAATGTATTAGTTCTGAAGCTCAGAAGTCTGAAATGAAGGAATAGGCAATGCCATGCTCCCTCTGGAAGCTGTAGGGGAGAACTCGTTCTTCACTGCTTCCAGCTTTTGGTGGCTTCGCATTCCCTGGCTTGTGGCCACATCATTCCGACCTCTGCCTCCATCTTGACAGATGCCTTCTCCTCTTGGCACACTGCCTTCTCTTCTGTGTCAAATCTCCCTCTGCTTCTCTCTTATAAGAATATCTGTGATGGCACTTAGGGCCTACAAAATAATCCAGGATGATCTCATCTCAAGATCCTTACTTAGTCATATCTGCAAAGCCCCCTTTTCCAATTAACATTTATAGGTTCCAGGGATGTTCTAATCTAAGCACATCTTTGGGGCCACCATTTAGCCAACTACAGCTGGTTTGGGTATTGTTGAATTTGTGCATGACCTGCTGCACATGGTGCATACTGTACATTTCCACTGGGGAAACACAGCCCACCCTGTGTTTCTAAATAGCCTGAACAGCAGTGGACCAGATGACCTCAACTATAGCAGGTTCCCTTGAGCACACACACTCGGAACCCCTGCTATGCCTCTCTACAGCCCAGAGGCCTAGGCTGCACAGGACCAGACTGCAATGGGCAGCATCAAGAATGGAGAGCAGGCTAGCAGGTGACCTATGGGGTAAAGTGCAGATGCAGACTGTTCCCTTAGCCTTTCCCAGGGCTGATCTCCCAGATAATCTGGCAGACAATGCAGGAGCTTCCCCTTCCCCACCCCATACTCCTGTCCGTCACATGGCCTTAGTTGCAAAGCGATTACATTAATCTGTTTTCTGTTCAAATGTACCTTCCTCATCCCATCAAATGCTCAGTTTTAAATGTCCACATTTGAGAACAGAACCAAAACTATGCTACTGAAGTCCCTGTAAACCTAGCATTACCCTGCTAGTAACAACCTTTCCCCCAACAGCCCTCCCACTAACTTCAAAAACACCCAGCAAGTTTCCAGGCTTCATAACAGAATGGAGAAGGCACTTGGGTGACTTCACAAAGCAAGGATGTCATTTTGTGTTAGAGGTTTTCTTGCATGGTCAGAATACTCCTCACTGAATGAACCACAACATGTAGGGGCCCCATGCTGTTACACTTCAGCCTTAAAGGGCAGACTATGTCAAAGGACCTCAGAGTATTGAAAATGGTAACATGCGGTAACAGGTATGGCTATGATAAAACAGGTACTCTCATCATTCAACTTTCTGGAAAGCAATTTAACAAATTCTCATTAAGCGGCTTAAAACTGTACACATCCTTTGACATTGTAATTCCATTTTCAGAACTCTACACTAAGGAATAAAGTGGAACAAAACTTAATGCTACATGGCAACATCATACCTGAGATAAAAAATGAAAAAGAAACTTTTCCAACAAAAGGATATAATTAGACAAATTATGGTAGATTCATTTAAAAACTCTTATGCAGCCATTAAAAATGGCATCTGACAAAGAATTGTTAATAAAAATAACAACTACAATAATAACAGCTACTCCTTACACAGGCCAGTCACTAATCTGAGCTTTTTAGGTGTTCTGTACATATTAATCTTTGTATTTTGTATACCAACTCAAGGAGGTAAGTATTATTATTCCCATTTTACAGATCAGAAACAGAGGTATCGAGAGTTAAGGCACTTGCTCAAGGTTATTCTGCTAGTAAGGCACTAGGATTAGATCCCATACAGTCTGGCTCCAGAGTCCATTGTCTAGAACCCCGTAGAAGGTTGAATAATGGCCCCAGAGAGGTCAGATCCTGTATCAGTCCATTTTCACACTGCTGATAAAGACACACCCGAGACTGGGTAATTTATAAAGAAAAAGAGGTTTAATGGACTCACAGTTCCATTGTGAGGCCTCCCCAACCACAATGGCGTGGAAGGCGAAAGGCACGTCTTACATGGTGGCAGACAAGAGATGATGAGAACCAAGCAAAAGCGGTTTCCCCTTATAAAACTATCAGATCTTGTGAGACTTATTCATTACCACAAGAACAGTATGGGGAAAACTGCCCCCATGATTCAATTATCTCCCACCAGTTCCCTCCCACAACACATGGGAATTATGGGAGCTACAATTCAAGATGAGATTTGGGTGGCGACACAGCCAAACCACATCAAGTCCCAACCCTGAAACCTGGAAATGTTATCTTATGTGGAAAAATGGTCTTTGTAGACGTGATTAAGTCAAGAATTGTGAGATAAAGCTGTATTCCTGATTATCTAGACTGGACCTAAATTCACATGTCCTTTAAGGCAGATTACACACACACAAACACACAGACGCACACTGTGAAAACTGACGAAGATATACAAATGACAAGACCACGTGCCAAGGAATGCTGGCAGCACCAGCGGCTGGGAGAGCAAGGAGTGAAACAGATTCTCCCCTAGAGTCTGTGCACATGGAGCACGGTCCTGCCCATACCTTGATTTCAGACTTCTGGCCTCCAAAACTGTGAGAATAAATTTGTTATTTTAAGCCACCCCGTTTGTGGAAATGTATTACAGCAGCAACAGGAAACTAATACAAGTCCATGTTGCTCTCAACACAAGAAAAAGTATTCATATATTAAATGGAATAAGAAGAAACAAAATTTATACACAATGATCCTAATTATGCATATAAAAATACATGCAAATATAACAAAATGTTTACAGTGATTATCTCTGAAGAAGGATTATGGGTAATTTTCAGCATTATGCCTTCTGCTATTTACCCAAATTTCTACAATTAGTCTGAATTATTTTTACAAAGAAAAGAAAGTTATTTTTAAAGTAGGAATCCATGATATTTCTGCAACTCTAACTTAAAGAAGATTACAAATCAAGAGGTCCAGAACTCAGTGGGAATTTTCCTAATTCAATCTCAGAGCAACACTTACAAATTTAGTAACCTGGATACATGCCATTCTCTAAATGACTCCACTCAACCCTTGGTCTCTTGAAAGCCTGTTGGTTTTCAGATTCTGGCAGGAACATGATGTGGCTGAAGAAGTTTCAGGCTTCTTTGAAGAGGATAACCTGAGAAGGTAAATATTTTCCTGCTTATCTACCCATACAAGAGACGGAATGAAAGATTTTTATGCATTCCCAGAGCTCATCCAGCCCAAAGCCTGTGGCCACATGCCAAAACCAAAATCACCAGTTAATCAACATGTAAATGTTTGATTTCTCTGTAGGTGACTTCACAGAATGAAACATCAAATCAAACACTGACCTAATCTTCTTACAAAAGTCCTGACTCCAAGGCTATTCTGTCGCAAAACCCTCCTGCTATCATCTGCCCAGGCAGCCACCAGACCACAGGCCAATTTTACTGTATCAACATCATGTCCTTTGATTAAATATATTCATACAAATAGTACATTAACATTTCCCCCAATGTGTGGGCAGTACTGGATCAAAACACAAAGATGTGCTTTTCTGTTTTGCATGGTGGGGAAGAGAAGAGTCACTGGATCCCTCCAAAATGGGGTCAGGTTAGAGCAGGGGCACAGGAAATGCATGTTAAATGATTTTATTCAGTCCCCCTGTACAGCACAGTGAGTTAGGGCAGTGGGTGAGGAAACCACAGTGTAGGGTTTGTCCTTCAGTCCAGGTTTTTCTAAGTATGTTAATGCATTCTTCATGCAGTCTATCAATATGTACAAGTACCTACTAAACATGAAGCACTAAGAGAAAGTTGTCTCACGCTGTAACAGATCATGTCTTCAACATGCTACACTCTCAGATGATGCAGCTGGGCAAATGGACATCTTTACTGATCTTCAGCAGTCTGGATCACAGAGCTGCCAGCACTGGCAAAATGTTGAGAGGAAGACCTAAACAGGCCTGGCAGAGCTTTGAAAGTGAGCAAAACAAAAAACAAATGATTTAGCACTGTGTACCTTCCTACACACCATTCATATAACAGTTCTAATTTCAGTAACTACTTCATTAATGTCTGTACCTCCCACTTAATCATCTACTCCATATAAACAGTATAATTAACACTTTCCCCAACTCTGGTTTTTTTTTTTCACTTGCTATTGTGTGTATTACCCAACCTAGCAGTGTCTAACTTTAAGAAGTACTCACTACATATCTGAGGTATAAATTAATGCAAGAATGAATATAGGTCATCAGTTTCCTCATCTGTAAAAAGGAAAAGGCCAGACTACGTGATCATTTCCCAAAGAAAATTCCAAGAAACCTAATTTTATGAGTTATGCCAAAAAAAGAAGGTTCACAAGTTATTCAGCTTTGGAAATGCAACATTCTATAGCCTCCCATTCCCCTTAAAGATTCACAATATACACCTTATACAATAAAAGATCTTGAAAATCCTTCAGTCAAAAACGTATTTGAGCATTCCCAAATCTAGCTGACCACAGATGCCCGTTCATCAACACTTAAACTGATATCACAGAGAACAAACGTTCTAAGGAAACCATGGGAAAAACTAACCCAAACTCTTTATTTGTTAAAAAAGAAAAATGTATTAAGCCGTTGCAATGATGATGATGTTGATGATGATGAAAATAGCTAACATTTAACGAGTGATTAGCTGTGCCACACACGGTACTTGGTGCTCCTGCCCACCAAGATAAATATGAAACCTGGCCCACAGTCTACAGTCTACTGGATGAGATCATTGCACACGATTATACCAGTACTAGCTGAATGTACACACATGTGCATTTATACACACATACACACTTATACATGTGTAGATGTATACAAATGTGTGAATATGCACACACACGGGGGAGGGAGAGGTGGTGGTGAAGACGAATGTTCCGGGTAGAGGGCGCATGGAACCAAGATATGGAAAGCAAGAGAATCTAGAGCATGCAGATGAATGATGGGCAGTTTAGTCTTACCCACTGGTTTTTGAAGTGTGGCCCAAGACCCTTTCTGGGAGTCCCGTAAGGTCAAAACTATCTTCAGCAGTGTTGACACTTACATTGCTGGTGCAAAAGCAATGGCAGGTAAAACAACTGGTGGCTTAGCATAAATCAAGGCAGTGGCATCTCATTGTATCAGCGGTCATTATATTCTCTACTGCCACACACACAACTATTTTTTAAGTCAATTTTACCTCAGTGTCCTTGATGAAGCAGTAAAATTATTAATTTTATTAAATACTGATTCTTGAGTACACATCTTTTTAATATGCCATGTAACAAAATGTTAACCACTCATTCAGCACTTCCGCTGCAGGCCAGAGCACGGTGGTTATCTTCAGGAAGAAAAAGTACCTGCGTGACTGAGCTGCAAGCTTAGCCACTGTTTTTCACAGAACATCGTCTTTCCTTGAAAGAATGACTGAGAAAAACTATGATTACTCAGATTTGTGTATTTATAGACACTTTGTCAAAAGTAAATACAGTGAGCCTGCTATTTCAAGGAAAATAAAAAAAGCCTGCTATTTCAAGGACGGTATTTGTTGCTAAACACAAATTTTGGGCTTTCAAGCAGAAATTAAAACTTTGGGGCCGGGTGCGGTGGCTCACACAGTGTAATCCCAGCACTTTGGGAGGCTGAGGCGGGCAGATCACCTGAGATCAGGAGTTCAAGGCCAGCCTGGCGAACATGGTGAAACCCTGTCTCTACTAAAAGTACAAAAATAAGCGTGGTGGTGGGTGTCAGTAATCCCAGCTACTCGGGAGGCTGAGGCATGAGAATCGCTTGAACCCGGGAAGTGGAGGTTGCAGTGAGCTGCGATCATGGCACTGCACTCCAGCCTGGGGGACAGAGACTCTGTCTCAAAACAAATGAAACTTTGGCCGGGTGCGGTGGCTTACGCCTGTAATCCCAGCAGTTTGGGAGGCGGAGGCGAGCGGATCACGAGGTCAGGAGATCGAGACCATCCTGGCTAACACGGTGAAACTCCATGTCTACCAAAAATTCAAAAAAAATTAGCCAGGCGTAGTGGCGGGCACCTGTAATCCCAGTTACTCGGGGGGCTGAGGCAGGGGAACAGCGTGAACCCAGGGGGCGGAGCTTGCAGTGAGCGGAGACCCGCGCTACTGCACTCCAGCCTGGGCGACAGAGCAAGACTCATCTAAAAAAAAAAAAAGAAAGAAACTTTGTAAAACTTATATCCAGTATTTGGAGCTTTAGAGCATCACAATACTTAAAGACTTTTCAGATGAGAATGGCAATGACATTAACAAATGTGACATGTTGATATTTTTCTAAACGGTGGTATTAAATGTGATATTTTGATATTTTCCAAATGACTAATGATGCATGATGTTACAAAATGATGCGTAAAAGATCCTTTCAAGGTATGTGATAGGACAACAGACTTTAATGTAACAGCATTATGAAAAGTTCATTGATTGGTTTAAGATTCTATGTTGCAACAAACCTTTACAGCTGGTCAAAAGTTCTGATATAGTTTCAAAGACTCTCCACAATTAACTGAAAGGGCTATTAAAACACTCCTCCCTTTTCTAACTACACGTCTGTGTAAGGCTGGATTTTCTCCATATAGTTCAACCAACACAACATACTGCAACAGAATGAAAGCAAAAGCATTTATGAGACTCCAGCTGTCTTCCATTAAGACAGACATTAAGGAGATTTGGGAAAAAGTAAAACAATGTCACTCTTCTCACTAAATGTTTGTGCTTTGGAAATATTTATTTTTCATTAAAAATGTTCCTTTATGTTATCATATATCACATAATGGGTTTACTGTTATATTTAAACAAGTTTAATAAATATTTTTAAATTTCTTTAATTTCAATTTCTAACACAGTAAATATTGCTCGATACAATCTACATAAACAAAAGCTCTTTGGGGAATCTCACTAATTTTTAAGAGTTATGTAAAGGGGTCCTGAAACCAATTCTGCAGAACTGCTGATCTCGTGTCATAGGGGGCAGGCGAAGGGAGGGGGACACCATTGGTCTCCAACACTGGGATGGGGCATTCAGAGCTGATCTTCACGAACCTATGAAGGGTGCTGAGTACCAAAATGGTATGGACAGATATGCCTTTTAGAAAAAGCAAGGACAGCATAAAAGTGCCTCTGCTCTATGAACATATGATTCTGAAAACAAGTAAGTATAAGAAGTCAAACTGTAGGGCGTTGAAGGTCCCTTATTACAACCTAAAAAATGAAATACAAATTTCTATAAAAGAGCAGGAAGAGAAGAATATTAAAATGTAATGATTTAAGAAAGAAGAAAAGCAGGGTCTTGCCAAATAGAACTACAACCAAATGGAATTCTGCAAAATGAGGGAAATCATTAGTGACAAAGTGCAGGGCTTTAAACTTCTAAAGATGCCAGAATCAAGATGCATTTCAGGCAAGTCTGGAAAATAAAAATAAAGGAGTCAGCAAAGAGCAATAAACTACAGCAGTAAAGAAGGAAAATGAATGCAGCCCAGAAAAGACGAACAAAAGCAGTTAGAAATAAAAAGAAGTAGTGACGAGAGAAAATTGGTTCCTATTTCCAGAGCATGGACTCTATCCAATGAGCATGCACTCCACCACTGGAGGTGGGAAGAGAAGGAGCAGGAAACACTTTCAGAGCAAAGTAGACCTCTGCAGAGCCTGGACGAGCAGACCCACTGAGCAATGACCTCACCTAGGTAAAACTGGGTTATGCCAATCAAGAACAGAGGCCATATAGAAGAGACAAAAGACAACTTATTAAAAATTGCTCAAAGCCAGGTGCAGTGGCCCATGCCTGTAATCCCAACACTTTGGGAGGCCGAGGCACGCAATTTACTACAGCCCAGGAGTTTGAGACCAGCCGGGGCAACGTGGTGAAACCCTGTCTCTACCAAAAAAAAAAAAAAAAAAGTTAGCTGGGCATCGTGGCACATGCCTATAGTCTCAGCTACTCAAAAGGCCAAGGCAGGAGGATCGTTTGAGCTCAGAAGCTCAAGGCTGCAGTGAGCTATGATTGCACTGCTGTACTTTAGCCTAGGCAACAGAATGAGACCCTGACTCAAAAATCGGGGAAAAAAAAAAAGTTGCTCACAAGGAGCTTACAAACAACCATCATTTTCTAAGTCAAAAAAAGCAATTATGGGAATGTAAACTAGTACAACCACTATGGAAAACAGTGTGGAGATTCCTTAAAGAACTAAAAGTAGGGCCACCATTTTATCCAGCAGCCCCACAACCCCAGTATCCACCCAGAGGAAACGAAGTCATTATATGAAAAAGATACTTGCACATGCATGTTTACAGCAGCACAATTCGCGTTTGTAAAAATATGAAACCAGCCCAAATGCCCATCAATCAACGAGTGGATAAAGAAACTGTGCTCTATATATAAATATATATATATATATATACACACATACATACCATGAAAGACTAGTCAATCATAAAAAAGAATGAAATAATGGCATTTACAGCAAACTGGCTGGAACTGGAGACCATTATTCTAAGTGAAGTAACTCAGGAATGGAAAACCAAACATCCTAACTTCTCACTCGTAATTGGGAGCTAAGCTATGAGGATGCAAAGGCATAAGAACGATGCATAAGAGTGGACTTTGGGGACTTGGTGGGGAAAGGATGGGAGCGGAGTGAGGGATAAAAGACTACACAGAGTACAGTGTACACTGCTCAGGTGATCAGTGCACCAAAATCTCAGAAATCACCACTATATAACTTATTCATGTAACCAAACACTATCTCTTCCCCAAAAACCTATTGGAATAAAACAAAAAAAAGCAATTAAAAGAGTAGTTACAACTAAATGAGAAGGAGGTCCTATAGAGAACTCCAAACGGGAGACCTTGGTGAGTTTCTCAAACTCGATGGACCACAGTTTCCTCTTCCATAAAATGGGGGGGCCACCACCTACTTGACAGTGTTGGTGCAAGCATCATGGACTCTGGCGAAGGGCAGATGCTCAACAAATGAAAGCTGCAATTATTATCACTGTAGTTACGACCACAGGGCCAAAGCAGGACCTACAGTTGTCACTGCACTAGTCTAGGCCGGAAAGCTCTCCAAGGTCAAATATTAAGGTTTCAACAATCACCAATGTGTGAACACAGGAAGGAATTTGAATGGCTTTGGCCTTATGACTATAGTCACTCTGCTGATGAAAAAACTGCCCTTGACCAACCAAGGCCCGGATCTAAGTGGAAAGGCACACTGCCAAGCACAAGGAGATCCAAGAAATAAGAGATTTTAAAAAAACAAAGTCACTTTTCCTGAACAGCCAACACTGCCATGCCCGGACCTTTTACACACTATTATCTCCCAAGTGTCAAAAGCAGACCAGATGTAGGTTTGTATGCTGTTACCACCCACCTCCAACCCCACTGCACCCCACCACCGTCTTATGGACCAGGAAGCTGTCTCAGGGCTGAATTGCAAAGAAGTGGTGTAGTCAGGGCCTCTACCTCTTGATCTGGGGCTCAGGACTCCTTCACTACCACACTGCCCAGCCCACAAGGACTAAGAGCCTGCCCAACAGATGTAAGCCAGCAGCTCTTCATCTAGTAGAGCAGCACACTGGGAATTCACAGATTAAAAAACAAAAACAGGCCACTGCAGTGGCTCACGCCTGCAATCCCAGCACTTTGGGAGGCCGAGTTGGACAGATCACTTGAGGTCAGGAATTTAAGACTAGCCTGGCCAACATGGTGAAACCCCATCTCTACTAAAAATACAAAAAATTAACCAGGTATCGTGGCAGACACCGGTATTCCCAGCTACTAGGGAGACTGAGGCAGGAGAATCGCTTAACTCCAGGAGGCAGAGGATGCAGTGAACCAAGATTACACCACTGCACTCCAGCCTGGGTGACATAGCAAGACTCCATCTCAAAAAAGGACAAAAACAAAAAGCCCACTCAAAAGACTTTGACACACCCACAGAAATAAACATGTCCAATTAAAAAAAAAAAAAAAACATGCTTTCTAGAAAGGTAAGACAGGAGGAAGAAAGGATTATTTTGACAGGGATAGACAATTAAGCAAAAAATGAGACCGCTCCCTTCCTTCACCTCCCATAGCTAATTAAACACCCAGTTAGGTTTTCCCTGATTGGCATGCCAGACGCTGCCCCAGGGACTGAGGATGCAAGCCAGCCTTTGTGCCCCTGAAGTCAGCAAGGAACTACAGCAGATCCTCAAATAGCATCATTGCATTATAACGTTGATAAAAAGAAAAAAAAATCAATTCCCAGCTGGAGCCACTGTCTGTGTGGAGTTTGCACATTCTCTCCATGTCTGTGTGGGTTTTCTCTGGGTACTCTGGTTTCCTCTTACAAACTTTACAAATACCTAACTCCAACATCCCAAAGATGTTGTGTGTGTCTAACATTTGTGTGTTAGGCATTTGTGTGTCTAACGGTCCCCATCGGAGTGGGTGTGAGCGCATCTTGGGATGAAACTGCGTCCTACCCAGGGTGCACTTATCACCTTGTGCCCTGAGCTGCTGGGAGAGGCTCCAGCCACATGCTATTCTGCACTGGAATAAGCAGGTTAGAAAATGGATAAATGAATGGATACAAATTATTATCAAACAAAAATTCATAAAGTATAATCATACAAATGCAG